GAGATTGATGTCCTGTTTGTTGAGTTCTGATCAGATGAATGTGAGCGATTAAAAGCATTACTTCGATGTGCTTGTGTATCAGGTACCCACTGGAACTTTGTGCTTTCTTTATTGGTGGTTTTCAAATCCAGAGAGCAACAAACAAACATGAACCCAGTTTCCCCTCTCTGATACAGCCAGTAATGAATGTCTCCTGTGCTGTATTTTGTTCCGTATTTTTCAGTGTTACCTTGAGGAGCTTTGGTACCTATAGAGTGCAGCACATCTAAACCTGAAGAAATTTTCTCTCTCTGATGGATATCTAAGTGCTATCGAGAAGTTTTTAGGCTTGCCTGAGAACACTTATTTGTTTGGATGAAAGCACATCTGTGCTCCAGAGAAATATTTTGATTCATTAGAACTTAAAAAATATATATATGTTCTCTGAATAGTTAGGATTTTAATTCCTTTTCATATAATTTGCATTAGTTTCAGGACAACCTGTAGCAGTGCATGTGCTTGCTGTGTTCCCTCTTCCCATTACTGCCTTCCAGTCCCAGTTCATCCTCTGGGTGTGGTAAAGAAGTCAGCGCACACCCAGAAACAGATGGAGCCCACCCAAAAAGGGACTTTCCCATCAATACACTTCACATGGACTCAAAAGGAAAAAACAAATAGGAAAATGTTCAAAAATGGAGGTGGATAAGTGTAGCACACCACGTGTCCAGCCTGTAGCCTAATGATAGGTGTCTAGTCCTTTTAGTTTTAATGGATGACTTTTAGGAATTCTAACTCCTAGTGACAAGAAAGTGGCAACACCACAACAACAAATATTCTACACAACAACAAATATTCTTCGTCCAGGAGGACCATTTCAAAATAATCCCTATTACATATCGGTTGTCACTATCATTATGTGCATTACAACCCTGCAATGTATCATGCCTTGAACTACCAGAGGTTTTTTTTATGCTAGAAGGAAAAACAGATGTAAAAGACAGACTAGATGCATGTGTCCTCTCTATCTGGAGTTTCTCCTCAGGCTTATTCCTGAACTATGCAATGGAATGTAGTTCTGCACTACTGTTACCAACAGTGGTTTAGGTTGAGGGAGAAAATAGCCTTGCCGTGTGTATATATTCTATGTTGAATAAGAAAGGACACTGAAACAGACGAGTACGATTCTTCCTGAAATAGGAAAGTGCAGCAAGAGTTTTTTTCTGTTCCTGAACAACTAAATGTGCCTCCATTGCAGCGATAAACCAATGCATCTTTATTATCCCCTCCCTCCCCAAGGAAGTGCACCTATTGAGATAGCTTCTAATCTCCCTTTCTCTCATTTCTCACTAGAGCACACACATGTGTACGTCCTGTGTCTTAAGTTTAGCCTTTAACTTTGCAGATCAGCAAATAAAGAACTTCCCTGTAGTCTTCTCCTTTGAAATCCAAGCTAGACTGTGCACTGGAGGCCCCCACAGTCTGATAAACCATTTGGTGTAAGCGCTCTGTTCTCTGAAGTGCTGGGACAATGCTGAAAGTTGAAGTTTATTATTGTATTTACAGCTTTTCTCCCACGGTGGGACTGGACTCCAGTATCTTCCTGTTCTTACTGGATTTCAGAACTGCCCCAAAGAGTGCCTGACCCTGGGGGCAAAACCGACAAATAGAGTAGTGAACCTAAAAATTGTGAGGCTTAGTCAGATCTGCTTGGTCCTTTGCCTCCTAAGGTCTCGAGGTACAGTGTGGGTTGAACAGCTCAACTTCAGGCTTCTAATTTGGACAACATTAAGCAGGCTTTTATTTCCCTTCTTGTCACAAAGAAATGATACAATAACAAGAAAAAAACTAAAATTATGGGTCGGAGATTTTGGTGAGGTAGCACATTACGGTATTGCTGAAATGCAGAAGGCCAATTGCCCAAAGAGTTACGTGGCAATTGTTTAACTCCCAACTGGGTGGGGAAAAAGGTCTAATATTAAAAACACAGTAGGTGAGCCCCTCCGCAATCCATAGTGCTGCTCGTGCTGATGGCTTCTGCCGACCTGCCTTGCAGTCAGGGGGACCAGAGGCGAAAGGACCCAGTTATAAGTAGTTTTGTTTTGATTACTGATGTTGACTACTCCACAGCTACTCTACAACAGTGTGAAGACATGAGCTTTTTACTTCCACAGATGCAGTTCAGAAGCACAAACACATTTGTACAGAGCTTTTTCCAGAAAAAAGAGAGGAAAAGTCAAGGTCAGATCCCTTTTGTGATGCTTCTTGTAATATAGCTGAGGATGCACAAAAAGCCATTCTGGTTGGGCTCTTCTACAAGTAAACAGAAGTGTTGGCAAGCAAAGCTGCCGCTCTCCCATGCTGTGGGCAGCTGCCCATCAACCACATTATCTCTACCCCCAAAACTGAACAGCCCTCTGTCACTAACAGCTATTAACATGGTGTCATGTAGAAGGAGCAAATGTCCATTGCACAGTGCAACTGCAAACTGGCATTGGTGTGAAGACAGTAGAGGTGGTTTTGCTTCTGGAGCCTTGGCAACACCATGCAACAGTCTCTTTTGATCCTCCTAGGCTATCGTGGTGACAGACGGAGAGAGGATTCTTGGTTTAGGAGATCTAGGAAGTTACGGCATGGGTATCCCAGTGGGGAAGCTTGCTTTGTACACAGCTTGTGGTGGAGTTCACCCACAACAGTGTCTCCCTGTCCTGCTGGATGTTGGCACAGACAACGAGGTAAGACAGTTTTTCGTAAATCTGGCAGAGGGGAGAAAGAATTGAGATTAATGCTTAACTGAGGCCAGTTCCCTAAACATGGAGGCAAAGCCAGAGACATCCAAGATGAGATGATGGCTGGACCAACACTGCAGGGAAGTGGCCAGGTTTCATTCCTGTCCGATGCTCAAGAAACTTTTGCTCTTTTGGGGAATGGATATAAACACTAAATAGCCTCATGGTCCCCTGGTGAGAAGACTCTGAGTGTTGCCAGTTGGAGCTGAAGGGTCAGCTCCACCTTTCAGCATGGCAAGGTGAGTTGAAAGATTTTGTACAGGAAGTCCCAGATTTATTCTTCCTCTGGTAATTGTGAGAAAACAGACGGATACTCGTGTCTCTGTAGAGGTGACTGTATTCCAGAAAATGGAGAATCCCTGGTGGGTGGTTTGGGAATGATTCGTTGCAGTGTTTTGTCAGATTGCACACTTTACTGCACATGATAACCAGACAAGAGGACTCCATCTGTTTGCAGATTTTTGCCTTATGACTCTGGCTCAGAAAGGCCGAAGTGCAACACTTTAGCCATGCCAGAATGGACATCTGTGAGGATGTCTGTTTTAAAATGAATATCCTATAGTTATTTGTGATGGCATGGGTTTGTCCGTTTTTGTAAAATGTACTTGTGCCTCACTTGACCCCAAGTAAACTAAACGTGTTTCTTGAGAGAAAGAACAAACCTGGGGTGTAAGAGTTTGTATATGAAGACAGATGAGTGTCGACGTTTTCAGACATGCCTATGCTCGCTGGAAAGCTGGATTTTCTGCACCTCTTTTACTCCAGCTCCAAGTGTCTCACACTGGACACTTGAAAAGAATGAAAGAAAGCAAAATCAGTGGCCATAGGTGAGATCTGGGATAAGATTCCCAATTACCTCTTTGGTCTCTGATTGCGGGATTATTTTATCCCGTTAGCACAGAAGCCTGTCATGGACTGGTGGAATATAGGGTGTGCTCATCTCAGCCTGATCCGTGATCCTTCCTGAAAAGTGGGAACTCTGAGTTTGGGCCCTCTGAGGCTAAAGCAGGAATTAAGTCTCGATCTCTCACTTCTTGGAGTTTCCAGTAAATAGGGCATTGTACCTGACTTCGGCTCCTTCATCTCTTCCTTCTCCTCTATGCCGGTCTGCACACCACCAAGTGCTGGCATGCGGTGAGCCCCCCAACTGGAGCTTCCCTCCAGGGGAAACCGGGCGTAAGTGCTTCCCCACCAAGCTTGATCAGCCGTTTCTGTCTCAGCATCCAGGGGGAACACTAAAATCCAAAGCGGTACCAATGATTTTTAGGCATCTCCAAGGGTCAGATGGTGTCAGAAAAAGGGACTCTCAGAGTCAATCTTGAGCACTTGCGTTCTGCCCAGAATCAAGCGTAACTTATGTGTCCAGGAACTTCTCTGTGGAGTCAATTTCCACATCTGGGATTAAGATATAGAAGTTGCTGTTTTCCAGCAATATAAACAATATATTTCCTCACAACACAAATAATTTGTTTGTTTATTTCATGTCTTGCTTATATGCATAAACCCAGCTTAACCAAACCTTAAGCACGTCTTAGGAGCATCTTGCCCCACAAGTAAACTCATTTATCAGTGCAGAAATGAGACATCTCCTGTAGGCATTCATCCCATCCATCTCTGCCTGTCAATATATGGTGAGCCTAGGGTGACTCTGTTGCTAAAAACAGCATCACAGGTAGAATAGAGTAAATATAGCAGTCATGTAATATTTTTAGCAACAATTCCCAGCTTGTCTTTCGGACAGTTCATAATACTTTGTATACTCTTTCAGCAAATCGATCTTTTTTCCGAGCTTGGCTATGGGAGAATTTTATACTCCATAAAGCAGCCCCAGAGCACATGGTGCTACAGGGGCAATCGGTGAAGTAATGGAAATGGGTCTGCGTCCTGTTTCATGGCCCTGAAGAGTTAATGTGTCAAACTCAGAGGACAACCTCTTTCATCTTTCCTTCTGAGGGAAAACAGCTGTGGCTGTAAAAACAGATCTAATTTTAGTATACCTGCCAATGTTTAGGGCCCATATGGCTGGAGGACAATAATATGGCTGCAGGACAATAGGTTTGTGATGGCTGGTCACCTTCTCATGTGAATGATTCAGTTCCTGAAATCAGAAAGGAAGTAGAGTTGCTTTGCAGTGACTCACAGAGGAGTTAGCCCATCTGTCTCCTGCCACTGTTTGTCCTGTAATTTTCCCTGAAATATATGTTGTTTCCATGCTGACTCAGTCCTATTTAGGTGGCTTAGAGGTCCTGACTTAACACTCACTGGATTGGTTGGAGGAATGGCCTGGTTTTATATTCCTAGCAGGAGCCAAAAAATAAACTAATCTCTTGTATGAAAATACCTTGCCTTGACACCTGCAGGTAACTGACGTGAGTGCTACGTAGGTGCAGGGCTCGGGAACATTTTGACATCTGATCACTGGTTCTGGTCAAGTCTAGGCTGTCACCTAAAGGCCTAAATGACCCATGTCATTGCAAGTTACTTCAGGCGACCTTCATTGCTCAAAGCGCTGTTTGTGGTCAACAGCTTTCCTGGTAACCTCAGTGCAAAATTAAGAACTGATTGATCAGTAAACACTCCCCACACAAGGTCAGTTTTATTCAGTAGGAGTGAGGAACCTTAAAAAGGAGCCTTTGGTAGAGTTGTTCTGGGGATGCAGAGCTCCATTTCCTATGGCAGTCAAGAAGCATTACATCCCTCTGACTTTATTTACACAAAAATATAGTCCATAGCTTCTTATGGAAACACTTTCTGCTCGGAAAGAGCTGTGTGGGCTGACCTTCACTGCATAGTAAGTAAACTTCATATGACCACAACAGACAAAGTTTTTGGGTAAGCTGGGACATAAATCTCCATCCATCCATGGAAGAGAAGATGTCAACAGAATTGCTTTGTGTCCTAGGCTCTCCTGAGTGATCCACTCTATATTGGACTGAAACACAAGAGGGTTCGTGGGAAACAGTACGACGAACTGATTGATGAGTTTATGCAGGCAGTTACCAACAAGTAAGTGGGATTATATACATGGCTCCTCCGGGCTGCTTCCATTTGAGAACAAATGTTGCAACTCGTGAAATAAACATTAGTATAATTGATCGTCCAAGCAAAGAAAGGTCATTTAAATGCAAGTCTCCTGGGTGGTCTACAAATGACTCTTTGTGCTTGAGCACTCTGTGTCAAAAATATTTGTCTTCAGAGAATTGAAATGGGACTGACTATTTATAACCATTTCCTGTCCATATAGGCCAGAGGTGGCAAACAGATGCCCTGTGGACTGTATCTGGCCTCCATCGTGCATTTGTGAGCCTCGTTCAGCACAGGCAGAATCTACACTTTGGTTTGTTTGCATTTTGTGAAGGAAGTTTCTAGCTTTCACCATTGTGAAGGAAATAGTCTAACTGGAAATGGCATGTTACTCCTCATGGTGATGTCTGTGTGAGTTGACAGACTGCCTATCACTTTGTTAGAAACAGGAGCTTCCCTGCTGGCATTCAAGTCTGTAGAATGAGAAGGCCAGGATTATAAGCGTTGTCTTTGTAATGGTAGAACAGATCGAGTGCATATTTCCATTCTTGTGGACTAGCTGCGGTAGAGGGTCTCTGATGTACTAGAGAGTTTGATGCGGGAAGAGCAGAACCACAACCTCAGCACTGTATGTGCACCTCTTGCACTGCATTGAGTTCCTCTTTCTGAAAAAAGGCCACCAAAGGCTTTAAACAGAAAGAGGGGAGATTTAATTGGGATATAAGGAAGAAATTCTTCACTCAGAGGGTCGTGAGGCACTGGAACAGGTTGCCCAGAGAAATTGTGGGTGCCTCATCCCTGGAAGTGTTCAAGGCCAGGTTGGATGAGGCGTTGAGCAACCTGGTGTTGTGGAGGGTGTCCCTGCCCATGGCAGGGGGATTGGAACTAGATGATCTTTGAGGTCCCTTCCAACCCAAACCATTCTATGATTCTATGAAAAAAGAAAATATATTAAAATCTCCATGACTATCTGGAGATGTTATCATAAGAGACAACAACTGTTAAGGACAAAAATAATATTTGGAAAGCCCCAAGCTCCTAAGCAGCTTTTTCTGCCTTTCCTAAAGCAGCAGAAGATACTGATAAGGAGTGGTAAGGAGCTGCAGTCTGTACCTGACTGATAGGCTGCTGCTTGTCTCTGTAATGTAGGATCTTTTCTTCACAGCTGAAGGAGCTAGGTTTGATCTTCCCTCACTCTGTGTCTCCAGCCAGCTCTGCATGTGTGTGTTCCTGCCTAAATGGAAGGGAGCAGGTTTCATAGATTTCATAGATTTCTAGGTTGGAAAAGACCTTAGAGATCATCGAGTCCAACCATCCCTAATCCCCATTAAACCGTATCCCTAATTAGATCATCCACCCTATTCTTAAACACATCCAGGGATGGGGACTCAACCACCTCCCTGGGCAGCCTAAAGTACCACCTAGCAGGTGGTACGTGTGTCATCAGCTCTCAGTTCATCTCATCTCCCTTGAGGTAGAAGGCATCATGTCCAGTGTCTAAGGACAACACCTATCCGTCCACTGAGAAGCATATCTTTACGTAAGGTCTGACTGCCCTGATGGCTGTGGGTGGAGGGATGTAGGAAACGGGCTGAAATGCTGAGGACTGTTCAGTCACAGCTGATGAACGACGTTTTGAGAGGGATGAGCACGTCGTGGAGAATGTCAGCACCTGTCGATGTGATGGCTCTGTGCAGCGTTGTGCTGCACCCTGTGCAGGTGCAACGCTGCTGGCAGGACAGGAGTCTCTCCTTTGCTGTTCAGCAGCATGGTGTGGACCTGTCCCATATGACGGCCGGCCTGTACATGAACCCACCCAGCTGCAGTTGCCCACTTACTGTGTAAAGATACCTGATATCGGCCAGTGCTACAGCCCCTGTGTCTGTGAATATGAGCAACACTGCCCTGCCTGTAGGATTAAAAATACCTAGGGATGACTGCAGAGGAGAGAATTTTGTGTTTGTGCTCTGGTTTGTCCTTCTTTATATTGGATAAAAAAAAGCTTGACTGAAATGTCAGTTGATTGGAGTGTAGTTTTATGTTAGAAACTCGTGGGTGATCTAGGGGGAAAAAATTCTTGGAAGCTAGAAAACTTGTAGAACACAACTAGGAAATCACAGGAGGCTCTACAAGTAGAAAAGATTTAAAAGTTGTCAGAGTTAATTTGTGTATTTTTGTTTGTTTGGATTGTAGTCACTAATTAATCCTTCAAGGAAACTGTCCCACTTTCTTCCGGCCGGGAGACCACAGGGGTATTGCAGCATTGGTGTTGATGATGGAATGGGAACAACAGAACGAGAACCCAGATGATGGCCTCATACATCACAAGTCTGCCTCTGAGATTTATGCTTGTGGTGTTAAATGCAGAGCTCATTGCAACCACTACTCCTGCGATGTCTGTGACGGGGCCAGAAAGACCATTTGCATTTTCTGTGCTTGCTGCTGGAGAGGAAGGGTTGGCAGTTATTTTCCTGTTTAGTTTACATGAGCTGATTTCCACATGGAAGGGAGAAGACACTCAGCTGTGAAACAATGAACTCTTATCTTGTGAAAAGGTGATGTCATGTCTAATGCTTTCATCCAAGTGCTCGGAATCAAGTTCCTGGGGCCCCTGTCCCAGCTTTTCTATTTCTCTTAGCCAGGATGAATTGCTTGAACATAGTAAGCCCCAAAAAAGTTCTCTGCAAAGTAGGGCTGGGAAATTCCACTTTGCACTTCTCCATTTACATCTGTGAAGTATTTGGAGATCCTTTAGTGAAAGGAGCCATTACCGTATATTCTCATCCTGACCACCAGCATACCTTCAAGTGTTGTTGGAGTGTGATGCTCTGCGAGCTCTTGGCTGGTGAATAATCCTGCCGTCAGTCTGGGTTTGGCAAACTTGTATGAAACAGATTCATTTGGTCTCAAATTTCCACTGGGATGACTGGATGCAACCCAGTAGGAGCTCTAACTTCTGTTACAATAGGAAGCAGAAATTGTTCAGAAGGTCAAGAACACGCTGCTTTATTGCAGCCTGCTTCCATGCGTGAGGAGACCTGTGAGTAGGAGCTGCTGTGATCTTCTCCTGCTGTGATTTCTTATGTGAATATATAATGTCACAAGCAAATTCAGTTCTTCGAGGAGGAACCCTTGGGGTTTGCAACAAATCTCTTGCAATTTGGGGGTTTCCTTTTCAATTAGATGTTCATGTAGAAATTCTGTCCGTTTCCTGAGGGTACTTTGACTTCTCATGGAAACCATTTGTCAGTTCCTCTGCAGGAATACCTCCCACTCTGTCAAATCACTGCTGGCTCAAGGGACATTTGTCACTGAAGTGGAATGTGTCAGAGCCCACAAGAAAGCCAGGGGAGTGAAGATTTACTCTTCTAATGGAATAATAATTTCAAACAGATGTCAAATTTCTATAGCTGAGACCCCTACAGTTGGCAGAAAGGGCTCCTGGTCTCATAATAGCCACCTAGTAATGAAACAAGGAGCGTGTCAAAGGCTTCAGAGTTAGCACGTACAGTATTTTGACATAAAGTGCAACTCCTGGGCAATTTTAGAAAGAAAAGCCCTTCTTCCTGAAACACCTGGATAAATTTCTGCATTTTCCTGCTGTCTAAACCTCCGTTCATTGCTCTTTCACCTAAAACACATAAAATGACTGAGCTCTTTAACAAGAGCTCCAAGCCATGCATTTTGCTCCTCTTGAGAGGCAACTATGTGCAAAATTTGGCCCGTTGAGCCTAGCCAAAGACTGAATGAAGCAGCCTGACAAATTGTTGTTTCCTCACAATGAGTAATATGCTTTGTATGGGAAAATGCGCTGCTTCAGTTCTTCGTCTCCTCAGTTACCACAGCAAAGGGCAAGTCAGTCTTACTCTTGTAGGCTGGAATAAATATTCACCTAATTTGTCCAAGGATCATAATTGGAGTAACCCACAGAATTTCTGGAGCTTGCCTGTATGAACAAATTAAAGTTGAAATCAAAATGCGATGGGAGATGATTTGTGCTGGGGCATGTTCTCTGGACTCCGCAGAGCTTCAGCTCAGCCTCTACAGTCACAATTGTCTTTAATCTTCTGAGTCTCTTTCAAAGCAAAGCACTCCTGGAAATTTTTTTCCTCCTCTTTTTCTTCTAAACTGGTATAGAAACTGGAGACTGGTTCCTTACCTGTCTTATTCCATTCACTCCTCCTGTAGTTTCATCATAGAGTGCAGTTTGGTGGCTCCAGGCAGCCAGAGGTGTTGGTGGATGGCCCATCCCTGAGCTCCAGCCTCCGTTTCGAATGCCAGCCTCAGTCGCTTGCCGGCAGATGCTGAGCATGCAGCCCGGGACTCTGCGAGATGCACATCCACGCACCAGCAAATGGTGTGGCAGAAGCCTCATCAAGCTGCCATAAATTCAGTGCCCTTTCCTTTCCCATCAGTGCTCATTAACAGGGCCGCCAGGGAAACAGAAGCTTCCTATCAACCTGGGCCATATGGCAGAGCACAGAAGACATCAGGAGATCAATCACTCAGTTTCTCAAAACGGGAGAAGAGGGGAAGTAGCTCTGCTGAGTTTGTTTTCCCTTGTGCTTGTTTGATACCTGATTTCTCTTTGCCTAATCCCTTCCCAGTACTTTTGCCCACAAACATACCAAGCCAGGTCCCATGTGCTCTCCAACAAGCTGCCTCTGTTTCAGCAGTTCCCCAGGACCATGGATCACAAATTCACCAGCACCTTTCAGAAACAAAATCTCCAGAATGGGTGCCCATCTATTATTTATTCAGATGCTCTAGATATTTAGTCAGGTGCTCTGATTATTTATTCAGATGCCCTAGTTAACTTGGCTAATTGGTCCTGAAAGGCTACAGTCTCTAGGCTCCACTGGCCTCCACAAAGCCCTCATGAAATACTGCTAACACCTAAAGTCCCTCAGCATCTGTGTGTCTGCTAGGAGATCTGCACACCATCACCAGTGCTTTAGCAGGGCTGGTGGTATAGACCAACT